TGTGGAAATTGTTGCCATCTGGAAAAACAGAGAACATCACAATACAATTAGATTTGGACGCTTGAACCAAAAACAATGTTTTCACGCTTAGGATGCTGACTGCTGTTGTGTTCACGCAGGTCAGATCTCAGCAGAAGGCTTCACCAGGTACCTGAATGCAGAAGAGAACAGCATCATTCCTCCGGAGAAGCTGGACCAGAGTGAAGACATGACCTTTCCCCTCTCTCACTATTTCATCAACTCCTCACACAACACATACCTCACAGGTAAGCACGTACACACGTTCAAACTTCTTCTTCTATCGGTCTGCTCGCGCAATCACGTTCAACTTGATTTTCCTCCTGACTGATTGCGCAGGGAGATCCTTTATTCTCCCATAAATGAAAAGATCCGTCGTTCATTTAGAAATACAATTATGGTTGAAGTGAATACACTCAACTTTATACCTCGTGGGTCAGTCAATCAAATGCACCCTTGCATATCAAGCTCCCTTTCTTGTGTTACTTCTCAAGAGGTTATCCAATCAAGTCATGCCACGATACTCGATTCATTGATATTCATGAGTTAAATATTTCTTTGGACGGGTAGTCAAAGTAACTCCCTGCGGTGCACAAGCATGGCTGGCACAATAGAGAGGCCATTTTCTCTTCAATGGATATTAGAATTCATCTATTCAAATCTATTCTGGGGGGAACTGAAGAGCATTGAATCTTTGAAGTGGATCAGATTTCAGCAGCGATTGGAAAAAATTGAATTTTCTGTAATAGCCCAGCCTCATAGCTGGTGGAATGAAGAAATGAGAAAAACCAACACGAGGTCTTTTAATTTTCTCCTCACGAACTGTGTTTTTCTTTAGGTATTTTCATAGTGACTCATACTATTTTATTCTAATAGGGAGCAGAAGCGTGTTGCAATGTGGAGTCTATTTCTGTCTGTGAGGCATTTGTGTTTCACAACTTTACATACAAAAAGAGCCATGCAGAATCATTAGTTTGATAACAGGACAAGCATTTTGTGTTATTGAACCATTGTAAATTACATTTTAAAATGAAAGTAACTGTGAAGAAATATTTCACCTCATGGAGTTGCTTAAAGATGTCAATTAAACAAGTTTTTGAGAGAAAAAAATGAGAAAAGAGTGAAGTAAACGAATGGCATCACACCAAGTGAGAACGTAGCTGCCTCTCACTTTAACACACTTCCACTTATTTCGTGGAAACATGCTGCTAATGTGAAGAGATAATTGCTTCGCTAATGGTGACAGGGTGATGAGATTTGCCTGCTTCAGATAACGACAGTTGTATTGTTTTTACTGCATGTGAGGAACAATACAGTTAATGAGCTCTTGAAAAGTGGGAGGATGTGCTTTTGTGGGCATCCTGTTTCTTTTTGGATCAACTTAGCCGATACCTGTAAGAGCTGGTTTTTTTTGTGTTTGTGTGTTCGGTGCAGCCGGCCAGCTCGCAGGCAACTCTTCGGTCGAGATGTACAAACAGGTCCTCCTTTCTGGGTGCCGCTGCATTGAACTGGACTGTTGGAAGGGTCGCACCACAGAAGAAGAGCCTGTTATCACCCATGGCTTCACCATGACAACTGAAATCTCCTTCAAGGTAACACAAAGAGAGATGGTGATGGTGATATACGGAAGGGCTTGGTTGGGGGTTGGGAAGCAAAGGGAACGTTTTCACAGAAGGGTATTCTGCTCAACAGATCATCCACCCACTGCTACTAACCCAACTGTTAGGGTTAATTTAACAACGTTGTGTTGTTAAATTTAAATTTGGAATTAAATAACAACAGAACACAGTGTGTTGTTAGATTTGGTTTATCCGTTAGTAAATCAGGTTTAAAAATATCTAAAGAGAAGAACACTGAAAAGCTTATACATTCAAAAAAAATGCAAAAATTCATATATTCTAGATGCAGGATTTCTCCACATTTTATCTTTAAAAAATTCTCAGAGTTCTTTCAGGCCAGCTGAATATGCTGTTAGCCACGTAAACGTATTCAGTTTTACAACAAAATGCAGAAGCTTTAACAGAAAAAAAGAATATTGTGGGGATGGGGAGCGATCGTGGCTCAAGAGTTGGGTGGTCGCCTTGTAATCGGAAGGTTGCCGGTTCGAGCCCCGGCCACTTCACCCATTACTTACTGGTGGTGGTCAGAGGGCCCGGTAGCGCCAGTGTTCGGCAGCCTCGCCTCTGTCAGTGCGCCCCAGGGTGGCTGTGGCTACAATGTAGCTGCCATCACCCAGTGTGTGAATGGGGACTGAATGTGTAAAGCGCTTTGGGGGCCTTAGGGACTAGTAAAGCGCTATACAAATACAGGCCATTTACCATCTCACCGTGTTATTTCATCTTCCAATAAACGGATCCATTCTCATAAACTCAGAATTTATCTGGTTTGTGAAAGCCATCACGTTGTCAGACAGCGGCCAAAATGGACAAACCGGCCACATACTGTACGTGGCACGCCAAAGGCAGAGAAGAAGAGAACCCACAGGCCTTCATTGATTCAAAATATGAACAGCATACCTATAATTTATCATCTGGAAAGGGGTCCCTATCACCAAACAAGTGAAAACGCAAAGGACAACAGACCGGTGTTCTGAGAAACCGTCCTACTTTGGCAAGTCATCCTACCCATATGATTATTTGACGGTGACTTCTGACCAACTCTAACCTTAACCATAACCATTAGAAATATTTACAATAGCTGAAGGACGGTTTCCAAGCTAGGATGGATTCCCAGAACACCGACATCTGGAAAAAAGTCATCTTCTCCCTCCTCACTTCACGCCTCATCTCCTGAGCAGAAGTCAGAGCTCTAACACACAAAAATGTTCAAACAGGTGCTTATTTATTCCAGATATTGTCACAGCAAGCAGATTAAATATGCGAGCCTCCCCATTCCAGAAAGCTGACCTCAAGCCGGCTAAACAACAGCATATGGTTATAAGCTAACATTATGCTAGCTAATCTAATCAGCTGGAGTGTCCTAAAAATCACACTTTCCCTCGGATAAACAGTTTCATTATGTTCTTACATCGTGTGAGAAGGTATTCAAATAAAGCTTCACTAATGCTAGCTAAAAGCAGCTAACAAAGGCTGACAGAAAAGTTTAGGATATCCTCAAGTCCTCAGTGTCGCTGTCGGAAGTGAGCTTCACTGACTCATCAGACTTCCTTAACAAAGTTTTTACAGCCTCCTCAGGAGTAAATAGACATGTACACCAACTGAAATAAGCAGCCGACTGTCAGCCAGCACACACTACAGATGAACGGCAGCAAAAGAACTCAGATGACGGCGATCTACTGACATTTAGTGGTTAGATCTTGAACACGGTACTTTTGAAGATGCAAAATGAATTAGTTAACAAAGATTTAGAAACTTAGATGAGATGTCGACCAGCGTTCCTGTCCAGGATGCGTACATCCTCATCACTGAAAGAGTGTCCACTGGCCTGTAGGTGTAAATAGATAGCACACTGATTCTGTGATACTGGATGTGTCTGTCCACTTTTCCCCACAATTTCCTCCCACACAGAGAGGGGGGATTCATCCAGCCTGCATTTTCTAATAAAAATTTCAATAACTTATCCCTCAGGGATGCAATGCAGTATATTGATGTGTCAATATTTTGTACCTACTTAAGGATGATTTCAGTCTTTATTGATCTGGTGACACATGTGGTCACTGGTGTCAAATAAACTGAATTATTTTAATAAAAAGAACCCATCTGAGGATTTGGAGGCGTGCAACCATGTGTCTACAGCTCTTAATCTAGGAGCTAACTGTGGTTCTTTCTTGTTCTGCTACTCTTTTGCAGACCTTAAAAATGGTCGACTGACAAAAAATGGATAAATACTTGCAGAATAAAAATGCAGACACACTTCTAAGTGTGATCATGGTCAAAACTAACAAACAGTGCTCCCTGGGAAATGCTGTCCTAAGAGGAGTGAAGAGAAGAGTTTACAAACTGTTTGATTTAATTAATTTCCCTTTGCTTTGATTGACATCAGGGCAATAGTAAACCTCACCACAACTATATATATTTAAAAAACACATTTCAACAGACAAGTATAGACTGAAGAAGACATAGAAAAAGCAAAAAGTGGGGCATGCAAGGAGCAGATGGCAAATCGTAAGAAACAGAGATGCGCTGAATAACCCTAGAAAGAGAAGCACCGAGGGGCAATTAACTGACGACGAGATGCTTTCATAGGAGGAGGAGGGCATGAAAATTTAAGGGCAGAGTAGTGTCAAGACAAAAGAAGAAAGAAATGGGTGAACTGATTGATGGAGGAAATTTAGATCTAATGAAAGTAACAGAAGAAGCAGAACAAGCCTAATGCAATTAGTCTGAGAGTGAAATGCAAAAAGAGAAGAGTTGTTAAAAGATGGAAGAGAGCTACAGATTGAAGGGGTTGAGTTACAGACAAAGATTTTTATTGGAGGAAATGAAGGCTTTTACTGAACTGCCACTGTTGTTAATGATGGTGTAATTGACTCAGACAATGAGTGGCTTAGAAATCTAATATCGGATGTTGAACTGTCTTCAGCAGAGTTGGGGAATGATTCGACAATATCGCTCAGCTCCCATTTATTTAAATACCTGCAATTGATGACCTACTGCAGGGGTGGGCAACTCCGGGCCTCGAGGGCCAGTGTCCCTGCAGGTTTTAGATGTGTCCTTGAACCAACACAGCTGATTTAAATTGCTAAATTAGCTTCTGCAGTTCTCCAGAGGCCTGGTAACGAACTAATCAAGTGATTCAGGTGTGTTGACCCAAGGTGAGATCTAAAACCTGCAGGACACCGGCCCTCGGGGCCTGGAATTGCCCACTCCTGACCTACTGTATGGGATTTTTGTTCACATTGTTGTATTCAGGTTCATAGACAAAACAATGTCACTGTAGTTAATGACGGCATTTTAGTAATTCTCGGAAACCAGTAGCAAACTCCTGTGTTTTCATTATGTATGACATGAATTGGATAATGATCCAACACTGAGCCTATGTTGTAATTTACAGGTATATTTTGTATTCTTTGTGTTTGGGTATTTAGGAGGTAATTGAAGCTATAGCAGAGTGTGCCTTCAAGACCTCGCCTTTCCCCGTCATCCTGTCCTTCGAGAATCACGTGGACTCGTAAGTTAACGGGACATTTTTTACCTTGTTGCCTTAAGAGGTTCCAATTGTGCCAGAATTATCTTTACATGTGCGCTGCCTATGTTGATTCAACATGTGACAGTCGCCTTGTTGCACTTTCTGTTCTTTGGCTCGTGCTCAAAGAACACAATGGCAGCCTGATTGTTTTGCTATCTCAGTCATTTGACTACCGTGGTCAAAGTGAGTCGTCAGTGGCAAGTTTCTTAATGAACCGCTTGATGTTTGGGTTTTATTCTATGTTTAATCTTGCACTGGTGTTAAGGGTGCTGGAAGCAGTCAAAATAGAAATCTAAAGATACGTGTAAGCAGTTTATCAGGTATACCCAGATATATCATTGTAACAAAATGTTATATACTGTGTCCTGTGAAACTTTAATTTAAAAGTAAATGCATTCCACTAAATTAGGCAGTTTTTGATTTGTTGTATTCGACAATATGCTTAATACAGTTTCAAAAGGATTTATGTATCACACATGGGTGCAGTTACTGAACTGTGGACCATCTCAAGCTGTCCGCTGACATCTCAAAAGGACAACTAAAGCCTTGAAAAGTCAAAAGCTGGAGCTGGGTGTGTGTGGAAGGAGGTGCACCCATGTTTCATTAAATGCATGAATACATAATGCAGAAATATGCTTTGTGGCAATAACTAAGAAGCTGTTGCTCCTCTGAGTTTCCCGTCGCTTGGATGGAATCAAACATGCAGCATCTTCACTTTATAGAGAGTACTCTACTCCCGTTCTCAGTGAGCTACTGAGGTTGCTCCTCCAGCTGCTTCAAACAGCTGCTCCTCCAACTCACAGAGGGTCTTCAGGGGAGATTAAGGGGTGCCATTACCAGCTGCAGTTTGAGACAGTGGAGTCAGAGTCTGTTGAACACAGAGATGAGTCTCACAAAAGCCTGCCGACAGGGAAACGGGAGACAGGAATGCCTGGTGCTAACTTATTAGCAGTGACTAAACTTTCAAATTAAGAGCGCGGGTATTGCACGATAGCAAATTGATGGTGGTCACTGATATACGTGATCAGCCCCTCCAGGTAATTAATATGTATGGGGAAACATACATACAGAATCTGTTCATAAATAAAGTATTAACCAAGGTTTTCTTCTTTCAGTATTATAAAAATATATCTCGCATTTAAATTGATTATATTATATATATATATATATCACTTATATTTATAGACTCTAGTATAGAGTTACATTGTTGTCCCACACATATTTTAATGAATTGTACATGTGAAGCTAATATATAGCACTTTCCAGAAATATGCTAATATATTACATGGTAACAGTCAGAGTCAGTGTGAACAGGAATCTATGGAAATCCATGTGCTGACTGGATTCCCTGGGACTGCTCCATCATTAGCTCAGTTGTCTGCTGACACACTGACAGCACATCACGGCAACAGTCATGAGACTGCAATCAGACAGTAAGTGCAACAAGACGGCAGACTAAAATATTAAAGTCAGACTGACACAGACAAATATCTGTGTCGCAACTGAAGAGCAGAAGAACATAAACAAATATCCACTAGATATTGACGCCGTGCATGTGAATATAATTTTTGCATAAATGAGGCTTCATACTGTTAAGCATATTGATGAGGACTGTCAATATGTCTAACCAACCACTTTGTTTTTTATCAACTGTGTAAATATCTGCAGAGCTAGGGAGATGCTTCTGATTAATCCTTTCATCTTTAATGGCACCAAGATACTCTGGGGCAACATACATATTCAGGATATTGATATTTAGTGGAGAAATCATGATTGTGTGTGTGTCTTTGTGTGATGACTCCCAGACCAAAGCAGCAGGCTAAGATGGCTGAGTATTGCCGGTCAATATTTGGAGACGCATTGCTGACAGAACCTCTGGAGAAATATCTTGTGAGTATATAAGATCTCCACGCACCCGCTACATTTGCTTGTGCTCGCGCTCACATTCACACTTGCTTGTCTCTTTCCAACACACGAACACATATGATACAACAACAGTGAGGCATTCAGAAGATACTATCACACAGATGAGTGCACTAGAGAAATGAATGTCCTTGAACGCCGCTGCTCACCATGCTGCCCATATAAATGTACTCTTTGAGGTAAAAACTCACATAGTTACACACACACACACACACACACACACACACAGTACTGTGAAAAAGTCTTGAGGTCCCTCTCATTGCTTCATATTGCTTCCAAAGAGACTTGACCACTAGTGCTCCAAGCTGGTTTTTGGTCATTGGCTGCTTTTTACACTCAATGCTGACCCACAAATCATTCAAGCATAAAAAAAAGGCATCTAACACAAGAGACCAACCAGTGTTTTGTCTGTACATACAGATAACTTGGCAAAGAATCCGTTTTAAATGGTATCCTTAGGCACTTTGTTACTAGCAACCTGTTGCAAAACACATAGTTTGTTCCATTTTCTCTCGTTAAATCTACGAAAAATACCAAAGATAAAACATTTTGACAGAATCTGTGAGATGCATCTGGACCTGTAGTTGATCCATCTACTGGTCACTGAAGCTTCATCAGAAACTGTCCCAGTGTATGGGTAACTGTCAAGAAGGCAAACAACAGAACTGGACTAGAAATCTGTGGCAACAGGCCTTATGGAGTGAAGAATTCAAATTGTAAATTGTTTGGGGTTGCATTTCAGCCAGTGGTGTTGGGGGACTTGTCAAAATTTATGGAGTTGTGAATGCAATAAAAAAGATCATCATCCAATACCATCTGGAAAGTGTCTGATTAGCAACAGATAGCACACTGTTTCAACATTATCGAAGGCAGCCAACATCCAAAGAAGAGCTTCGAATGTCCTTCCAGAAGCCTTTTGCTGACAGGAAAGCTTGCCTAAGAGAGTTCAGGCTGTGTTGAAGAATAAACATGGTCATACCAAATATTGACTTTGTTGTTTGCCTGGATGTTTCAACAAATCAGTGCACCTGTTTCCCATTTTCTAAGCAAAATATAAAGAAATTAGTCTTGATTTGAGACTTTGCAATATCTATATATTAGGGGTGCAACAATACTCGTATCGATATTGAACCGTTTGATACAGTGCT